TCTTTTGTTGTTACCTCAATCAATTCCACAGGGTAGATTGAGCAAGTATACCAATTTTTAAAAATATATACAGGTTGGTTGGAAAGTTATGAGACAATGAAGATATGGACAAAATTGATGAAACATCCTGTATCTCGGTTATAAGAAGTTGAAGACCCATCAACCATGGGTTTTTTGAAATCACCTCAGTGACCCCTATCCACAGTTGAATTATTTACCTTTCCCAATGAAACACCCTGTATAATTCATAATTCCACAGATGTGGATACATTTTCTACAAGAATTCTTTCTTCTTTCTAGGACCAAAAGTTAACCAAATGGTCTTTTCTTACACCAACTCCTTTGGAAAAGAAGAGTACTTGGACTGTTATTTGAACAATTGGGAAAATATTCTCATGCCTCTGGGATTGATACCAGAAATGGAAATAATTGTCAGAAATGTGGCCCCACAATCCAGAAAATATCTGAAAGCAACTGTCTTTACCACTATCAATATAGTGTCCTACAAACCCAATGTGGAATTTCAGACAGTTAATTTGTATGTAGTAGGAGCTAGTAATTTGGACATTGTCTCAATTCATTTTTTCAGATATATGAACAAAGAGATTGACTGGGGCCGTCCATATTTTCTAGGCCAAGGCAACAAAATTCCTTTCAGTGTCCTTATATGGGGTAGGGTTTCTGGAATACAAATCCTGTCAGTTAAGCTTTCTAAGATTTGCAAAAAATGTAAACTTGTCACTGAAACCTCTGGTTGTTGCACCCAATGCGGGGAAAAGGAGAAAATTACCAGCTTTTTGTCCAAGTGAAATTCACAATACATTATCCCAATGATGGGTAACTGATATTTTTGTTTTTTAGATTACATGTATCAGATGAGTATGGACAAAGCAAAGTTTTAGTAAAGGATTTTCAATGCATTAAAGTCTTCCTGGATTTACAGGAAAAACAATCTCAAACTTTTTTCAAAGCTTTTGATGAAATAGGCGAGTACAATTACAGTTTATTTGAGACAGACCACCAACTGACAGATTCTGTGAGTTGAATTATTTTTTTTGTCTTCCCAGTCTCGTTTTGATTCACTTTTTCAGGAGAATGAAAAGGAATCCTTGAAGAATCTATTGACGAAGTATTTGACAAATTTCAACAAATGTTCATTGAGCAGTTTTGATTTGAAATGTCGGAAACTTGATACAAATCCTTCAAAAAATGGAGGAAGGCCACTTTGGTTTCTATTGGATATCAGAAGGAGTTAATGCCTGTTTTGTTCCATATACAGTCTGTCCAAGATAAGGTTGCACAGCATGGGGATCTCGGAAACGGTAGGAGATACGAAGTCGGTTAAATGGGGAAAAAGTTGCGCATTCGGAGGCTCATATCAACAGCCTTCGAAAATTTTCAAATTTTTTTTTAGTTTTTCAGTTATATCGAAAAATGTGAATTTTTGGAATCTCTATTTTATTTTTTTTCTCCGTTATTATTAGAGATACAGGAAAACTGAAAATACTTTTTCATAGCAACTTTTGATGACGTTTAACGTGGTGATACCGATTTTTCTATGCGACGTTTCGTATTCGTAGAACCATCATCAACTTTCGTTTTTTAAATATGGCCCTGATAATTCTTTCACAGATTCTGAGAGCTTTTTTTATTCTGAATTCAACCATGTATTATACAAGGTGGTTTGAATGTGTTTCGAACTATTTTTAGCCATCATCAATGTTTTTTTCGAAATTCCAAAGGAAAAATGCCATCAGTTCCACTTATTTTGAAGGAAAATTAGCCAACAAACTAATACCTCATCAACTAGTTCCGATTAATAGACTTACAGGAATAATTAGTTCGAAAAATTTAATTATGACAAGCTCCTTCGGATTAAAATATGAATACAATTCATAAACAATTCTCAAAGAGCTGCATTGAATAGTTTAGTGGATTTTTTTTTCACTTTTCAGTATTGAATAACTAGTCCATCAATGTTTGACACTGAATAATCAGAAATAAGTGAAACTGGTTCCTTTGGAATTTCGAAAAAAACATTGATGATGGCTAAAAATAGGTCGAAACACATTCAAACCACCTTGTATAATACATGGTTGAATTCAGAATAAGAAAAGCTTTCAGAATCTGTGAAAGAATTTTCAGGGCCGTATTTAAAAAACAAAAGTTGATGATGGTTCTATGAATACGAAACGTCGCATAGAAAAATCGGTATCACCACGTTAAACGTCATCAAAAGTTGCTATGAAAAAGTATTTTCAGTTTTTCTGTATCTCTAATTATAACGGAGAAAAAAAATAAAATAGATATTCCAAAATTTCACTTTTTTCGATATAACTGAAAAACTAAAAGAAATTTTGAAAATTTTCGAAGGCTGTTGGTATGAGCCTCCGAATGCGCAACTTTTTCCCCATTTAACCGACTTCGTATCTCCTACCGTTTCCGAGATCCCCATGCTGTGCAACCTTATCTTGGACAGACTGTATGTTCATTTATTTACTTTTCATGATTAATGTTACTTTTACTGTATTCAGTTTTGTTGAGAATGATTTTATTTTTTATTCGATCTTTTTATGATTGAGATTTGTGGAGAATAAAAATTTATTTTTGTTTAATCTTCTTGTATGATTGAGGTACTTGAAAAGATCAAAACTTTATGATTTTTCCTTTATTAACAGCCTTACTAAAAATCATTTTCTTCTTTCAAATATGCTAACATTATTAGAACTCTCACAAAACCCTACCATCTACTTGATAAATACAGAATGTTTTACAAAAATAGCCATATATGGCAACAAGAATTAAAACAATGATGAAAATATAATATCCACAACAAATAACAGTCATGGGAAACTGAATCTAGGACCATATTTGAGTTTTATTGAATTTTATTGAATTTCAGTTAGTTTTACACGAAAATATTGAGAATTATTTGATAAAACTTTGAATTTAAAAATAATAGGCTAGTGAAATTTGTAAATTTAAACACACACTACTACACCTAAATTCCTGAAAAATAGACCAGTTGAACATTATCAGAAATGCTCTAATAATTATATACAAATTTTATTTACAGAGATAAAAACACCATGATTTTTGTATTTACAATAGATAAGACCATCATGTTAACTATTACTAACATAAGTATCCAGAAAAAATAATGACTTGATTTTGCAAAGTCACCCTGTGTTTCCAATAATCAAAAACACTGGGCTTTGACATGTAAGTTGAAGATTTTAAAAAAACATTAAATGCACAATTAAAATTGAAATTACAGTGATGCATCAATTTGTCTACAATTTCTGATTTATTACTGACTGTATTTACAGGATATGCTAAAAGAGGTTTAGTAACTATCAATGTTGTATAAAATAGGTCTTGTGGCTTGTGATAATGGTTAAAATTCAATACAATTTACGGAAAATACACTGGACAAATTGAATTACAGTGTGTCCCACTTACCATGCTCACCATGGGTATCTTTTTAACGGTGAGAGATACGAGGTCGGTTAAATGACACCAAATGTGGAGTTTGTCAAGGCCAACTATAATGTGAAAAAATATTTTGATGAAATCTATTCGTTTTCGTTTTATGCGCAAAAAACAGATTTTGGTCATTTTCATGTCTCCTCCGTAACTTCTTTATTTATAAAAATATTCAAATAGGAATTTCACATTCTCATGGCAGTTTTTCAAAGTGATTTCGAAAAAAATATGAAATTCATACCAACTCTTCTAGAATTTGAGATATCAGCACCAACTTTAGTTTTTCAAATGTAGGTCATAGCTCACTATGACTTAGTTACAAATAACTTTTTTTTCTCTTTCAGATGATGTGTCGCAGTAATAGTTTTGTGTTGATAACAACGGAGTTATCGTCATTTATACAAAAACAAAAAATTATTTGGAAGCCGCCATCTTGAATTTATAAATTTTAACAAACAAATCTTGATCTCCGACCTCAAAAACCCCCACTTACCCATTTTGAATGGAATCGGACCAAATCTTTTCCGCCATCTTGGAGCAGCCATTTTTTTTTTTAATTTCAACAAAAATTCCATAATTTATTGTCACCGAAATTATGAACAACTGCCAAATTCCAAGTTAATCGGAGTTATGGAATTTTTGTTGAAATTAAAAAAAAATGGCTGCTCCAAGATGGCGGACAAGATTTGGTCCGATTCCATTCAAAATTGGTAAGTGGGGGTTTTTGAGGTCGGAGATCATGATTTTTTTGTTGAAATTTATAAATTCAAGATGGCGGCTTCCTAATAATTTTTTGTTTTTGTATAAATGACGATAACTCCATTGTTATCAACACAAAACTATTACTGCTACACATCATTTGTGAGAGAAAAAAAAGTTATTTGTAACTAAGTCATAGTGAGCTATGACCTACATTTGAAAAACTAAAGTTGGTGCTGATATCTCAAATTTCTTCAAGAGTTGGTATAAATTTCATATTTTTTTCGAAATCACTTTGAAAAACTGCCATGGGAATGTGAAGTTCCTATTTGAATATTTTCATAAATAAAGAAGTTACGGAGGAGACATGAAAATGATCAAAATCTGTTTTTTGCGTATAAAACAAAAACGAATAGATTTTATCAAAATATTTTTTCACATTAAAGTTGGCCTTGACAAACTCCACATTTGGTGTCATTTAACCGACCTCGTATCTCTCACCGTTAAAAAGATACCCATGGTGAGCATGGTAAGTGGGACACACTGTATTGTGTTGGTAATGTTTTCCAAGCCTTTATATCAAAAAGTTTCAGCTATTTCAGACCCTGGAGACAAGACGAGAATACATGGAAACAATGATTCACAGATCAATAGTTATCAAACCATTTTAGTTTCAGCTTGTTTATGTGAACGCGCCCGAGGAAAGATTAGGCAAACTGAGATTTGGAGAATGCTCATCGGTCTGGGGCTGAAAAAGACAGACTCTGGCGCACCTGAGAGGAACAAACAATGACAAACAGAACACCCCTCACCCTTCAAATTAGCTCTCCGTTCTCTCCCCCTTTGTCCTTTTCACTGACCTCGGTTTCTTCTTCCACACCTACTGCGCGCACTTTGCACTTTTCTTGTAACTTCTCGTACGATTCTCCATGCAACAACGCCACAATCACCACCTGAAACGGTGGTCGGTCCAAGTTTATTCACGAAATAATAAATAATACAAATGTAAAAACTTCACGAACGATAAAGCATCGTCAGCTTTTTTTAATTTATTCACGATGGCGACGTGACGACGTATGAATAATTTGAATTTCGCGCCGGTTTTCAGTGGGCGTGGCCTCCAACCAAATGCTCGTCTCTGATTGGCTTGAGCCAGAACTCACATAGCCCCTCTACTTTACTGGTACAATGAACTCAACTAACGTTGGCTTGCTTGACTTTTATATATCCTACTTTCCCAACCTGAAGGATTAGTTACCTGTGGACAGGTACGATAAACCTCCATTTTCGGAAATTGGGCACAATATCTACATACGGTATACCGGATTAACTTGAAAGAGTTGATAGAAAATACATATTATTACTTACTAAGTGGTGAACTATTGAGGTCTAATGCGATAGAAAATAACACGTCGCCCCACCTGACGGCAGCAACTTGAACACTTCTGAGCGGTTTAATTTGATGATTATGACCAATAAGCACAAAAAAAACAAATGTGAACCAATGAAAACAAAGTAAACATACCGCTTTAACAGCTTTCAAGAACTCCGAATTGATCATCAAGTAAAATGTCGAAATTTTTGAGTTTGTTGATTTCTAATGATTTCAAATGATTGAGTTTCAGTCCTCAATTTTCTACGTGTGAAATTTCGAAATTATCATCAAAACTATGGTTTTCTTCTAATATATGGTTGGCGTATGTTGAATTTGTTTCCTTTTTCATAAAACTCATCTTATGTTCATGAATGCGCTGATTAAACGTACGACCTGTCTGACCGATATACACCGTGTCCCAGCTAAAATGTCCCCACCTGTAAAAAATCAACCGCGTGATCGAATGAATTGAAATTTGGTCACCCAGTATATTTGATGATGCTCACTCGAATTATGCTATTGAATGAATCGTAGGTATACAGGGTCACACCGAAGTGCACCTCACCGTCCCAGATATTGTGCCCAATTTCCGAAAATGGAGGTTTATCGTACCTGTCCACAGGTAACTAATCCTTCAAGTTGGGTAAGTAGGATATATAAAAGTTAAGCAAGCCAACGTTGGTTTAGTTCATTGTACCAGTATATCACCTGACGAAGCTACTGTGTTAGCGAAACATGTCCTGTGTTTGAGAATTTTGTGGAAATCTTATCGTTTGTGAAGTTTTTACATTTGTCATAGATTTCCATCAAGTATCGGCCGAGTCAATTCAAAAACTAAATAATACATCTCAGGGTGACATACAAATCTCAATTTCAGATTCTGAGTTCCTATCTACCTGATTGTCTCCTACAAATATCGTAATTTTTCGATTCTCATTCCGAAATTTTAGGGTGTTCATTTCCATATATAGGAAACGACGACCGTAGCCTTTTTGGCCTAATATTATTTTAAACTCGGAAAAAACCAAAGTGCCATTCAATTACCAGACACTTCATTAAACGGCGGTCCGAATTGCGCTCAAATCGCTATGAGTGCGCAATGATTGGTCCGATAAATAACGCTTAGAACGCTTAAAAATATTCACAGTGGTCATTATGACGTTCAGACTGCTCACAGTTACGAGGTGAAGCGATCTGAGCGTTGCTATCAATAATGTCACTACTGTCACTTGAAACTTGAAAAAGTTAACAAAAACATTGGAAGATTTTGAAAGTCCTCAATAGTCAAGTCTTATTTTCTGTCGTACAGAATACATAGGGACAACTCTCTTTAACTTTCGATAAGAGTTATTAAAACCAATTAGTATCTAATCCCTATGTATGAAATTGAACAAAGGCGTTATATCATACAGTTGCTGCATCAGTTTCCTCATCATCAGTACTTGCGGAAGAGTCAAATATCATTTCGAAAACTCTATCGTCGTCACTGTCAATAATGAGAGAAATCTTCACCGAAGTTCCTCAATTTTTGCATGCACTATGATTTATGTTGCTCCATAAATAAATCTTCATGTGAGGTTATGTAACGGATTTCATAAGCGAGTTCAAAATACGGTCCAAATGAATAGTCGTCAAAGCTTGCAAACGAATTCGGACCAGGAGCACGCTCAAAACAATAAGCTCAATCAGGACCACGGTGTTAGATGTAATGTTAATGTACTTGACCCTGCTGTTTTGGCGGTTTTGTTTGTTAGAGTACGGACACTATGACAAGCACTGACAGTCAGATAACCACAAATAAATTGGTGTAGAGAGCGGTAACTGACAGTACACCAACGTACAAAGTGGTCCATAGTAATTTCAAAAGAAAACAAGTAGCTCAAAGTCGGTCGACCAAACTTTTCATAAAACAATCAATTAATACATGTTACCGGCTACTGCCACGACGTATTTATCCAGAACATACTAAACCATCAGGAACGATTCACATTGCCCTATGGAATTCAATTCGCTGACGACACTGCCATAATTAGCCAAACCAAAACGCTTGAGAAAACTGTAAGAATGTTACAAGAAACACTCGAGGATACTATGAGATGGTGTGACAAATGGAGACTGAAGCCAAACCCAGAAAAATTCCTTCAGATAATATTCAACCATAATATCTCCAATAATTCACCTTCAGTCAGTGTGAATAATCATATAGTGAGTTTACTTGGACCCGAAATTGAACTCATGAAAAAAAATTGTATCACAAGAGCCAAACATTTTTGGAACTTAACATATAAGAAGAGAGGAATTAGCAGAAAAACAGCAACTCACATTTACAAAGCCATATGCCGCCCCAAACTCGAATATGCTCACCCAATATACATCAACACCAGAAAGCCTATGAAGAATCTAGAAGTAGCAGAAAGATCTAGCCTGAAAGCAATCACGAAAATACGACATCCTCAAAACCCCCTTCACAACCCTCCAAATGAACTCCTCTAATGTACAACCAATTAGCGGGAGGCTGGAAAAACTAGCACAGAAGTTCTCCAACAATGAAAGTAACCTGCAGATCATTGAAACCCAGTACATCCAAAGACACCCTACAGAGACCTCAAGTCACAAGTTTCCAGTAAACACCTTGGTGGAATGCATCACCAACATTGCAGAAATGCGAAGAAATTAAGAAATTGATCAATCTTGAACACTTTCCTTCTTTTATCTTTTTTTTTACTCACTTCAAACACTAATTCACATAAATATTATGTAATATTTTATTATTCAATCAAAGAAATGAAATACAATAGATTGCATTTTATTACAGAAAAAAGGACTTCGGTCGTCGGTGGCCAATTGGGTAACCAAAGAGTACTTTTATTATTATTATTTACATATTACCGGTTTCGGCGCTTTATTATGGTATCTATTACAGTGACTGCATTTAAACAGTGACGACAACGGGCTGGCATCCGCCATGTTTAGGCTAATGTCAAATACTCTGTCTTTGTCTAATTATTTGGTTATGTTTTTTGTTTGGGATATTTTGATGCAATATTTAGAATTAAATAATTATATTTCACTTTATTCAAACAATGTAATGAATATAGATCAGGTTATTAGGCTATGTATGACTTAGTTTCAGAAGAAGAATTGAAAAGCAGCCAATAAAGACTCGGAAGCTGGTACTCAAACCCACAGATAGGTACAGGAACTTTGCTAAACTCAAAGGAATAACAAGTTTTCTATCAGTAGGTAAAAGTTTGAGTTATTGAAAACAGTCTAATTAGATCTCTGGGAGAATCAGGAATGACTACTTCCAATAAGTGCTTACTTTTTCCAGGAGTGATGATTTCAACTTGAAGGAAAAAGAAAATATGTAAAGCTTCTGAGGTAAAAATGTACCTATACTTTGTCTACTTCCAAACTACAATGAAATAGAATTCTGCATACAGGATTTTTTGGATGAAAAAACACAGTAAAGACAACATATCTGACAAAAATGGTGTATTGATCAGAACATCAGAGAAGGTGACATGGCAATCTGGAATATAATTCCTCTCTCAAGTAAACCAATGGTAACCCACAGAAATTAAAACAGATCTCATATGTACTTCCAATGATAATAATTGGTAATCCAAGAACTGACCATTTTGATTCTATGAATAGACTAAAGACTATACAGCTTGCCAGTCTTACTAAATGTGTAGGTGTTGTGTGTCCATAAGATTTGTTAAAGGAAAGGGAAAATGTGAATGGACTAGATGTTTACTTGATGGAAATCAATCAATATTTTATGTACTTTCTAGGACACATATCAGATAAGATATTATATTGTGTGAAAATATGATTTTAAATCCACTTTCTAGTAAGTAGGTACCTTTATCCACTAGGGCAAGAGATTTGTGAAATTTTGTAGTTTCCAGTTAAATTTTGTATTTATAATGATGATCATTTTGTTAAATCATACCTAATTTGTTATGTTCAGGAGAAATAATCAAATATAAGTAAATTGATAACTATAATAATGGTGAAATTACTACATAGATGTAAAAAAATATACCTATACTAATCATCAGTGTTGATCAATGTCAATCACCTATGTGTCTGACAGTATGTTTGTGAGATATGTGAGAAATGAAATGAACTTTTTCCAAAAAAATTATTCCTTATTAATAATTAATATTGTCAAAATAATAGTCAAAATACAGCATAGTGAAATCACTGACATTTTTATAAGAACAAAACATACTAGTTTGTGTAGTTTTTTACTATTTTCATCACATTGTCATTGTCCACCAATATTCTACATTGTCTTTCATGAACTTCACTCAATTTAATACACATACACTGATAATTCTACATTTTCAATGCACATACTTCAAGTAAATATAATTTCATGCTGTTTCAAGTCACTGCTTGATTATTTCTTTATATATGTTTGGTATTCTATAGCTTCTCAATCACATGGGGTAGCTGGAGAGTGGAGCTATAAGATAGACAACATAATATCATATTTCAGCATCAGGAATCCATTTTGCATGCAAAGTCTTCATAAGAGGCTTCTATAGGAGCTTTCACATAACTTATTGGATCACCCAAGCTGTCCAATTCAATAAAGTTATTGCAAACCTGCATACTGTAATACAATTTCCAGCCAGCCTCATTAAAATAAATATGCAACTTATAAAACTGGAGGTAGAAAATCTAAAAAAATAAATAAATGAGGTTAAACCATGATTATTAAAAATATTTCCTAACTTACCAATATTATGTTCTGCAGAAATATTTGATCTTGATCGAATAGAAAATAAAATACCTACTCCATGAGGTAAACAACAAAACCACAGAAATACACAGACATATTTCTGACACAATCAGCGCTTCGGAATTTGCCTAAACCACAGTAGAGAGCTTTGCCTAAACATGGCGGACAGCGGATTTTTTAATTATTACATAAACCATTATTATTATGATCATTAAAAATATTCTTGAATTCGCCAATATTATGTTCTGTGTAAATATTTGATCAAATGGAGAATAATACTGCATGAGAAAAAAACAGGAAAACCACAGAAAAACACTACTATTTTCAACCTTTCAACACAAAGTTCTGGTCATTCAAATTTGCCGCGGGTTTTGCCTGAACATGGCGGAATTCTATCGACCAATAGAAAAGATGACATGCCATTGTCGTCACTGTGTTAAATGCAGTCTCTGTAGTATCTATGAATCAGGGGTCACTGCTTTTGGAGTGTCTGTACTCTAATATACAAAAAACGTCAAAACAGCAGTATCAAGTACATCAAGGAACTCTAGTTTAGTGTACCCACCGTCATGTTATCGCAGCCGAGCCCCGCCATTTGACAGTCGGGGGCCAAACAGCGCATCATCAGGTTCTCGCAAATGTCTTCGGGATCCATTCCTTGAGCGATGTTCTCTCGCACGAACGACACCACCTCCTGGTTGCTCATCACGTCCCAGATGCCGTCACAAGCCAGCACTATGAACTCCCAGTCGGACGTGATAGTCTGTTCCAAAACGTCTGGATATGCTGCAATACATGTTATTCTCAACAATTTGTGCTGTTCATTTGCCTACTCAATCGACTGGCGGTAGCTGGGAGCAAAATATAACCAAAACTGCACCGCAGCCATTTTTTTTAATTTTTCAAGGTCAAGTCGCTTGATTGGTTGATTAATAGCAGAATGATCAGTCAGGGTTCAAGGCCCAACACACTGCAGCCTTTTGGCCTATTGTATTCCTGATCATGCTGTTGACTCAGGTGAAAAGATTCGCTACCTTGATAACGTTTAGCAGCCTCTTCACCAAATCATTCGTTGGAAAACCCTCTTGAGTCTTGAGAGTTTAATGGGTGGCAGTTTCCTCCTTCTCATTGCACAGTCTGCATATGGGTTCGTCTGTATTCGCGAGATTCACGAAGTGGGCGACATCTAGGTTACATAATACGAACTTCAAACTGGGGGAAAACAAACTGTTGTCTATGGATAAAGTGCATAGACTACATTGCATTCAGCTTGCTGTAGCTGTAGCCAAACTTGTCAATGACATAAAGTGTTGGCACGGTTGGTTGACGATGGTTGAGTTGGTTAATTTTTTTACATTATTACATTTTTATTAGTTTAGTGAACAGTGAACGGGTGAAGAATTGGAGATAGTTCAAACAATTCAAACTAATTATGACGAGCAAATCAATTGACATATAAAAGAACAGCTACAACATGTTTACAATACCCAGATTGTCCTGCTTTGCATGAACAAATACAAATCCATTGTTCTACAGGAGTTCATCTGGACCCCAACTTCAATTTTACTTCATGTGGGGAAGATTTCATCGCCGAAGTTTGCAAGTTTGTAGACAAAGTGCAAAAATGTGCCTTTTGTTGAAGTCTTCTGCCTCACACAAAATCACATGATCAGCACGGAGAACTGCTTCTCCTTCCACTACTGGTCGGCTTTTTCCATCTAAATAGAGCAAAATATCTGCCAAAAGAACATCTACAACAGGCATTATTATCGTTTTCGATCGAATATTGACAATCAATGTCAAGAAATTTAAAAACTTATCACTCCTATCAGTACACAGTACACAAGCTGATGGCACTAATGGGATTGAGTGAGGATTGAGTTTGTTTTCCCCCAGTTTTGATGTGGCTTTGACATGGAACGATGAAAACCGAGCGCCACCTGGTAACATTGATTCCCGCGAATAGATGCCCATTTGATGTATATGCTTCCTCAAGGGGCAGTGACCGGTTATTAGTCCCGTCACTTGTCTAATCTGACTTCTGTTTGGGCTCAGAATGTCGTTAGTCACTGTTCTGGGCAGTGTTCCAACCATCAGTTTACTGTATCTTAGTCCTGGAACATTGTTCCAGTATGCTTGATGTCTTTCTGTTGTTTTGGGGATACCGAACACAGGTTTCGGTCCCATAAACAACGCCGCAGACCCTCTCCTAGCTAGAGCGTCAGCTGCTTCATTGCCTTCAATTCCCTTATGCCCTGGCACCCATTGAAGAGTTGCCTTGTTGTGGTTCGCCAGGGTTAGCAGGCTTTGAAGGCAATCCCAGACCAGTCTTGATCTGATTTTATTGCATGTTAAAGATTGAATGGCCGCCTGACTATCTGAGCATATGAGGATTTGTTTACCTCTGTATCCTCTTACGATATTCTCTCTCAGACATGCCTCAATAGCATGCACCTCTGCCTGGAATACTGAAGCATGCCTCCCCAAGGAAGCACAATTATTAGTTCTGGGTCTATCTCCATATATTCCGGCTCCCGTATCCTCATCAGTCTTAGACCCGTCAGTGCCTCTAGAGTATGAATCTATAGTGGACACACAGTTCGTTCCATTTCCAATAATTACAAAATTAATGTTTTTTCTTCAATAGTTGATGCAGCAATTTTTTTCAAATGAAGTAACAAAAATATGACAGCTATTTGTGCAACTAGTGCAAAAAGTTTGCAGCTCAGGCGATGTCGAGAGTACATCCACAAAGATTACAGCAACCAATTTATTCAACATCATTCAAATATTCCGGTATGGCATTGAACATTGAAAACCAGAATATCTAGAAAATGGCTCACTCAAGCGGATTTTTTCAGGAGTACCTTTCTTCTTTTTTTTTTCTTGCTTGAAATTGTTCAGGAAATCATTTCCTTGACAGAAAAAGTGAAAAAAATACACTGACAGAAAAGGTATGGCCATTTCTAAACAATAAGAAGAGCATTGGTAATGGATCTCTAATGACCACAGTGAAAAGTTGTCCATATTCAGGTTTTGCCTCAGGAAAAACCTCAGATAACCAATTTGCAAAGTAATTCGTGAAAAATGTTTATAAATTTAAAAAAAAATCGACTTTTATTTTTTAACTTTACCACCCTGTATCTCGGAAACGGAACAATTTCGGACTGAGGTAAGTTGCTGTAAATCAGCTTATTTTGCCCTCTGGAATATGTACTAAGATTTTGTACAGACCTCTTAGGGACACCCTGTATACAGGGTGTTTCTTCCGTACATGTGAAAAATTCAGGAGCATGTTGATGATGATAAGAAGAAAAGTTCCTATAAATATATGTCCGCAAGTTATTCGTTTCTGAGATACAGTGTGTCAAATTTTGATTGTTATTTTGGTATTTCATGAATAATATTCAAAATGATCATGATATTCAAGTGAGATACCAGATTTCACTGGAATATCACGTTTATTTTTCAATTTATTCACAAAAAAACAGGAAACATATTCAAACTTTGACACTCTGTATCTCAGAAATGAATAATTTGTGGACATATGGAACTTTTCTTCTTATATTGACGTCAGCATCATGCTCCTGAAATTTTTACAAGTACTTAAGAAACACCCTGTATACAAACAACCACAGGAAATCAATTACTTGTGCTTATGTTATTTTGTGAGAAAATATGTAGGGCAAATTAGAAGACCGATCAAGATAAGGTTTAAAGAACACCTTGTAGGTAGTGGGTGACATGTTATAAAGTACCAGCTACCACCCCCAATAGAAAAATGATTTGATAACAGTCTCACAGAGGCCTTTTTTTGTTCTAGAATCAACAGATATACTTTCACTCTCTTAAAAAATATACAGGAAGCATCAAGAAGTGCAAGAATTTTAAATTGATACCCTACATATTTCCTCACTATTGGAAGGCCTTTCAAAGAGCCTCGTCTAAAACCCCCACTTGATATATTATGTATCTTCTGTATTTCAATTGAATTGATCAAACAGTACATAATAAATAATACAGGGAGTTCCAATGTTGCCATTTCTTACATCTTGTCCGAAATTTCATAAGAATTATAAGTTTTTTGCTAATCAATAAGTGGTGACGAATTTCAACAAAAAAACACTGTTTTTGACATGTTCATGGGAATGCTGAAGCATGATCTGGAAATGGAAATCAAATTTTGCAAATCACCCAAACTTTTTGCTCCTGAAAATTGAATGAGTTGTGTAATGAGAATTATTATAATTTCTAGTTCAAATAGTTATGGAAATAGCTTGACCTTGACAAATTAAACAATGGTACCTGCAGTGCATTTTTGTTATTATTTTTTCATGGCTCCTAATATTGAAAGTCATGGCATGCTGCTGCTTTAATAGTCCTGAAATCATTGAATCAGCACTAATGTTCAATGATCTGCTTTTGAAAGATATACTTGCATCATAATCTTTCCTTCATAACTTGTTTATGATTTTGTGGACATTCTAACTCAGATTCTGAAGTATATGATAATAAAATAGTAATACTATCTTCCCTGCAAGATAGGCATATGAGAATCAATAGAGCAAAAGTAAAAGGTATCCAAGATTTAAGCAATAAAATCACTCCCAGTTCTTATAGGCATTGATCAAAATTATTCAACTTTGAATATATGTTATCACCTGTCACAATCTGAGCTTCTGGCCCCTTTTCAGTATTCCTCTTGAAGGCAAAGTCACCTAGGGCTCTGGATAGGGCCAAATTACCATTCACTCTATTACAGTCCACCCATCCCCCTGCAGCTGTGATCCTTTCATACTCAGACTGATTTACAGGTTTATGATCATCAGAAAGGGGCTCTGCTTTGCCATTAATACTGGCCACAGCTCGAGAGTCTCCCACGTTAGCACAATACAGCTTATCATCCTTGATTATCATTGTGACAGCTGTAGTGCCTGATCCTTCATCCCTCAAACTATGTTTGTCTAGCATGTGAGAGTCAAACTCAAGGAAACCCTTTTTCATGGCTTCAGGAATGTTCCCTTCTTTGTATTCGCTTCTGTTTATGATGTACTTGTGTAAATGGTCACCAGCATACTCTGCAATCTTAGCTCCACCATGTCCATCATACACTGCAAAGTATGCAGTACCAGGGGAGTCAGGTAAAGATAAAATGTGTGTGTGGGAATCTTCCATGTTCACCCTCCATCCCTGCATGCAGCTGGAACCCACTCTGAACAAGGTATTCTCACAACAAGATGTTCCTTTCACAGTGACTGGTTCTGACAATGTCTGACCCATGGCTCTGAAATAGCAAGAGAGATCTTGAAAACTGTTTTATTACTAATATGATACTGACAAAATATTGGCATCAACATCGAAATACTCTTCATCTAATAAATTAGAGTTTCTTATCATGACAAAACACTTCAAAAAATGGTGCAACTTTGGTTGTCTAGTTACCTATTACGCGTTATTAGCAATTATTTTCTCTATCTTTTACTGATGGTTGGCATTCTCAGGTAGCATATATAGGATAGCAATCAAGCTGGAATATCAGAAATGAGCTTTAATTAAATAAATAGATAAAAATTGATGAAAATAATCACGATTTTATCACGAGATATATTTGGTAAATAGGTTATTTAGGAAATACAATGATACCAACGGTGCCATTGGGCCATTACCAATAAAACCAACAACGATTACCAACCTTATAGAAAAAATTTCACTAATCGGAAATTTTGACAGCCAGATCTGACGTAGGGATTTCACGTTCTTTAACATATTGAACACTTTAAACGCTGATAAACACATTCTGGACGGAACCATGATCAATAACATGTGAAGATATTGCGAATAATTGAAATTTTTGACGATTGTACTAAAATTTTGGTAGAAACGACTTCTGACGCTTTTTCGAATTTGAAGATGTAGGGTTTTTTATGAAGGCCGTTAAATTGGCAATAGTGCAAGATGGCGTCGGAGAAACCCGGGAGCTTTCAACAAGGTGATGATTTTTCACTTATTTTTAATAATTCGTCTTGTTATTCAACGGGGTTTCAATGTTTTTCACCAAAAAACATCTCAGTGATACTTAACACACACATTTTTGTGCCTAAGATGTTTCTACATATTTCTCTTTTGATCGCGTCGAACAATGATAGCTGTCAAAAAAGCATCGATTTCCACTACTGCTAATAAACCCTTGTTTCCAGAAAATCCAGAGCAAGAATCAGAAGATTTGGAAGATTTTGGGTCTAGTTTGTTGAGTATGGAAAATTTGGACAGAACTTCTCCTGAGTTATGGCCAGAAAAAAGTGAGTACACTGCTAATTTGGATGAAAAAAAACTTTAAATAAAGAATACTTGAATAGTTCCAGGTGTGACAGAATTCATCAACAACTTCCAGTCAACACCACAAAGCGCTACGAAAATAATACCTTATTCCAAGGAGCTGAGCCAGGAGGAAGAAAATTACTTGCAACGTAAGTGAACCATTTGCATGATTTCCTTTGCCCATGCAAATTGATCATAAACTGCCCCAGCTCATTGAGCTTATGGCTTACCCATTATTAGTTGTGTGCTTGTTGCCCTTCTTGTGATGTGATATGTGATGAAAAAATATTTTCCAGTATCCTGTATGGCCATTATCATATTTTGCCTTTGTTTCATGTTTCAATTTAGATTTCTGTTGCTTTTTTTCATGTTTATTCTCTGTTTCATTTTGCTCATATTTAAGTTTAGACATCATATGTGCTGAAGATTGCATATAGAAGTAGAAAGCCATTTTCATAAAATGCTTCACCAAATAAGCTATTCACCTCACTGTTCACACTATACTTGATTGGTACAATGATTGGTGTCAATGATTGTGATTTCATCTTCCCATTCAGATAAGGATAGGTATTATCTTTCATGTGAACTTGGAATTACTAATAATTACCACTTGATATATATCAAAAATACTAATAATGACTATGAAATGTTGTGAAATGCTTTTCAGCTATGACATTCAAACCATATGAGTCTTGTTATTGATCAAAAAGTTTGTGATGAGGGGAATTTTGAAGAGGATATTTGTTTTTTAGAATTAGCTTCTCTCTCCACTTCTGGTCTTGTGGGTAAAGTTAAGGAACTTCATGATATTGCATATCAATTGGGAGTGGAGGAGTCCAAAGAAGTGACCAGGGGAAAGTACCTCAATATCTTCAATAGGATGAAAAGGAATAAATGACATCCAAGGGTTTCTTATGGAGATTAGATGTTTTTTCTTTATATTCTGGGAGCAGCTGAGCACAGTGTGCACCTCCTTGAAGGGTTTGATTTTTTTGGTTCTAAAATTATTTTCTTTTTCCTTTTATCTGTAAGAAAAATGATTTTATCACATGGTTCTTGTCTCTGATTCTTCTTTTGGAGAAAATTTTTCATTGTTGGAGATGGTAGAATATTGTTTCAGGATATTTCCTGGGTTATTGTAAATAATTATTTAAAAATATAAAGGGTTTTTCTATTTCTTCATTTCAATTGATATACTTACCATGCTGTTATCCTCTTCCTGAATGTGTATTATGATTATGAAGATGCAGGTATTTATTTTATACCATACTAGGAGTTCCATATTATCAGTAGTAATACTATGAGTACTTCAAAATATTCAGGTTATACATTGATAGCTTGTTGTATAATTACAAAGAGTATCAGTTCGACTGTTGAAGGATTCTTTGCTTTAAACTGACAGGATACAAGGCATTTAAATGATTAAATGTAACAATACTAAATGATTACTATGGAAATAATCCTGAATTTCCGATTGGCAGAGTTACTTTGATTGGTTTATATATATATAAACAAATTATATTTATTGTATTTGTGATAGGAGTGTCAAAAATTATTTTATCAGGCTATCTTCCAATCTATATTTTTATCATAGGGAATGATTAGATGGGGTGGTATGTATGAAACTTATCTAAATCCTTTGTTATGTATTCAAAAATATGTTTTGAAAATAACATTCCCTAAATCATTTGATAACCCATCAGCCTCATTGTTATTAGAAATTAATATTTTGATTGTTAGGCAATCATTCTATAAGGCGTCAATAATCTTTATTAAAACAAACAAACAAAAAATCAACAATGTAGGAATTGAAAAACATAAGCTTAGAATTTGAGTAAAACATTCTAGTTTTATTGGCACTAAGATTTTATATAAAATACCATCTAAATTAAAACATCTAAATATCATAACATTCAAAAAAGAAGTTGAAAGTTGGCTTATAGAAAATGCAAAGAAAGTCGATGATCTTTTTTAATCAACTATCTTTTTATTTATTTTAATTTATTCTCATTATTGTGTGAATTGATTATTTGTTTTGAGCTCGTTTTTCAGTTGAGGTATTTATATTGTGAAAAAACAATTTTATATATGAAATAATTCATCTCTTTTCACACACAGGTCAACTAACCTATGTGAAGGAGATGCAATATGAAATATATAAAAAATATGTAGATTCTACTTAACTCAATGAATGAATAAACTATAGTATGATGAAAATCACTAAGTAGGATTAATCCCTGTGACATTTTTAGATGTAGACAATCTAAATACTGTGGATCGAGGAGATGGTACATTAATTTTCCTAGAGTATTTGGGATTTTCTCTTCCTTTCTATGGAATAAAAATATGAGTATTATATCAATATACATGTAGTGGAACAGATCATCAGGCTCTAAAAATGTATGATGATCTGGTTTAAGCGAATAGATCACTATTAAAAATTGTGTAGATGATGAATTGTCCCACTATAGGCCTGTTCGTTAGTATTGCTGAATTTGCTAAAGTTGATTTTTGTGCATATTTGTCTCTGTTCCTGGCATGATATAAACAGAGAGTCATAGAAAAAAATCAAGTTTAGCAGGTAGAGCAACACAAACAAAATAATACTCATATCATGTTTCTATAGGGAGAATAAAAAAAAACAATCGTTTGTCAGTGACACTTAGTTCTGAAAAATGTTTGATATGAAAATACCAATTTTGTAAACAAAACAAAAAGTCGTGTTAGCTCATATCTTTTGCGATATTCAAAGGTGTGAAAAAATTGAATGAAAAATCCAGGTCCGTATTTGAAAAAATAAAGTTTAGGATGGTTTCTGGAAGACGAATCGTCGGATTTCAAATGATTCAAAATACCTCTTTAACGATAGGACCAAATATGCCTTGATACAATATTGCTGTGGAAAAAGATGAAAATATATATCGTTTTCAAACAAGTATCAATATTACGTAAAAATAATAATAATGTTATGTATACTAATCAAAATTACTAAAAAGTCTCGTCAAAGTTACCAGTCATCATCAGGATTCATTCACGTGGCGCCCCATGTAACAAAGTGTAGAATAATACATAAAATAATATTCCCTGTATAAAATTATGCCTCTGTGCCGATTTTGATAACAATTGATAACTATACAGCGAAATTATTAGCAGAAAACGAAAAAAAATCAACTTTAACTCCCTGTATCTTTCCACAACACCCTGTATATTGTTTTCCGTAAATGGATCCTTATGCTGTGGTAATAAGTGCGATAAAAGAATGATGAGGTTGGGGGTTGAGGAACATTTTTGGGACTTTTGGGAGTTTGGTTGGTTGCCAGCTGCTGAATACACCGATACTTACAGGTGAATGGGAGGAAATGGTGGGAGGGAGAGAACAAACGAAACGACAACCGACAAACATTCACCTGTCTGCGATCGGGCGATGCGATCCGATCCGAGTTGGCCGCGACCGCGAGAAACGAGAATCGACTCGACCAACTGCCAAAGTTGGCTTTGCTTTTGCGAAAATTGTTTTCAGTTTGTTTTGTTTTCTCGATTCGGCTTTAGGGGATCTACACTGGTTTAGTACGAATTTTGAGGCAGTTTTACGTAGTTCTCCACCTGTTGAAATGGTGTAAGTAAAAATATCGTTGAAAGTGAACTAATCGGATTGCGACTTGCGAGTTGGTGATAAAGCTGTCATAATGTTGTTATATCAACCGATTCAAGGACGTTTCTATTTTATATAATTTTGCAGAAGTGATGGCTAAATCGCAAGCGTTAAATTTTATTCAATATCAGAATGTAGCTCCTATTACCTATTTAATCTTTGATAGGTAGTATAGGTACATACTTCCAAGCACCCAGTGCTATAACCCTTCATAATACCACAGCTTGTACCACCTGTACCTATACAGGTTGTCCCGAAATTACATAGAAAGATTTCAACTACAGATTCTAGGAACAAAAATCGTGAAAATAGTTATTTTTTGTGACTGGAAAAAAGTTTGGCATTTCATCTCTGTTGGTTATAATGTCACTTTTCATAAATTACTTTTCTCCCGTGGGAAAAAGTGAGTACTTTTTTCCCGGATATATAGCACAAAGCACATATATATACACTGTGGTAATTTTGCACTTATCATGCGATGGTTTTTTTTTCGAAAATTTTTTTTGGTACTTACGTATTTTTGTCTGAAAAACACGAATTTGATAATGAAAATGTGAACAAACCATTATTTATTAAGATATTTCACTATAAAGTTACAAATTTCACCTTCTTTTCCGCCTGTCTTTGGGGCGCATTTAGAACAATTTGCCCTTCTTTTTCCATCATTGGACAATTTATATAGGTATATCACACAATGTTGGACACATTTTTTTTATCATATGAGTCAACTAGAAATATGATTTTCTTGTGATTTATCCATGTTTAGGAAAAGAAGGAAGAATATCATTTGAAATAATGGCGTGTGTGATGTCATTCCAAAGCAATCTATTGACATTTGACATCTCCTATTTGGATTACCCATTGATTAAATGGCGGTCATCTGGTATGCTTGCTCACTAAATAGGAAAAACTCGCCATAAAAATGATATTTCCTGTTGAATTTTCTAGCTTAAAATGTGTCATTGAAGTACATCATGAGTATATGAAGTGTCCAATAACAAAATAAAAAGAGCAAGTACCTGTAAATGCATTCAACACAAGGGGGAAAATAAGGCAAAATTTCGAACTTTTTCTTGAAATATCTCGATAAATAGTGGTTTGTTCACATTTTCAATATCAAATTCGTGTTTTTCAGACAAAAATACGTAAGTACCAAAAAAAATTTTCGAAAAAAAACCCATCGCATGATAAGTGCAAAATTACCTACACTGTTGATGGCTTTTGTTGTGCTCTACCTAGTTCCGAAAAATGAGTCAATAATACCGTCTCCAAGAAAGAACTACGGTTACGTATATATTACTAAACTACTTAACAACCACTAAATTCGCAAGTTTTTGAAATCAACAGAAGTGACATCAGATATTTGATTATGTTCATGAAGTTTTTTCCATGTATTTTACTATGGATTTCGATCGAGTAACGGTCGTGTCCATAGTTCATGCATCATACAAACTGCCTACTTGATAGAGGTCCGTAGGGCGGTTATCTTTACCAAATACCGAGCCAAATACCAAATGTTGTTTTTGTTTTCTACCAATTTGGTGGCGTTGCAGGAATGCGCGTGATAATGATAAGTGCGTTGCTAGTCATTATATATTGTGTGTTTCGATTTCGTGCGACAAGTCGGCATATTTGCAAATCGGGGTCAAATACCTTTCCGAATCGGCCTGTGTGCATGGTCACACAGATTTCTATGCTAATCGAGAAGAGAGGAAATCGGATTTCAGATTTCAGTTGCATGAGAACGGCAGCTAGGAATTTCACACGGGAAAATGCCGTATACACAGGGTGATGCTCGCAGAATAGACCATATAGGTTCAATTAATATGTCTCACTACTTAAGTTGGAAAAATCGTATACGTGGTGTGTCAAACATAGAGGTACTTAAATTTACTCTTATTGAGTACAATTCATATTTTTCGACAAACCTCGTATACGACTGCAAAAATTTTGAATCTGATGATTTTATTTTAGATTTCGGAACAATATGCAGAAGTTTTTTATGAAGAATAACTTTTCCTACAATGAATATAATAAAAAAGTAGTCTTTCGTGTGGTTCCAACTCAATGAGGCATACTGTTTACAGGGTGGCATTGAAATAAGTGCAAATATTTCAAACACTGAGGGAGCTCGACGTGTACTATCGAATGGCACTAATAAAAAAAAATTAGTATCAAAATAAAATTTGAGGTTAGACCCCTTTTCCCCCCAAAGTTCTACACTGTAGCAAATCTGACGTCACCTC